GCTGAAATATAGAAGCCGGGTTTAATTAAGTCAGCGTTCTCCTTCTTGAGGAGAAATGCATTTCAGCGAGGCGGAGATGAGCCATCTCTGCCCTGCTTCTCTGAGTGGGAAGAGTGTTACATCTGACTGGATTCAGATGGCCCCCACTCCGAGGCTTCTTGCAGAATTGCTTCCTTAGCACAGCACAGCACTGCATCTGTCTTCATTAACATGTATTTATTTAAATAACCCATCAAGAAAACCCCAGTAATGAAGACAGGGAACCTGAGCCACCTGCTTTCTTAGCCTGCAAAATCTTCCTCCTCTCTCTCTTGCAATGCCTCACTTCTAACGAATTTAGTTTGCACAAACCAAAGGAGTGCCAAGATCCGATGGGATGCTTTTGAACTCAGCACAGGGTGGCTGTGTGTGTCCTACTTTATGGTAGGAAGCCACCTGCTTGAAAGGCTGGCACAAGACAGTCCTCTGCTTCGGGCTTGGCCTTCAATGATGCTGGACTCCAACTCCCATCAGCCCCATACACAGTGGTGCAGTTATGTAGTTTTAGACCAGGGGTTGCCAACATAGTGCCCATGGCCATGCATGCCTGCCAGCACCTCCTGCAGTACCCACAAAGCTCTTAGTAAATATCCCCTCAAAAATGCACAGTGCACGAAAGCAGGGGTGAACGAAGAAGAAGAAGAGTTTGGATTTGATATACCACTTTATCACTACCCGAAGGAGTCTCAAAGCGGCTAACAATCTCCTTTCCCTTCCTCCCCCACAACAAACACTCTGTGAGGTGAGTGGGGCTGAGAGACTTCAGAGAAGTGTGACTAGCCCAAGGTCACCCAGCAGCTGCATGTGGAGGAGCAGAGACACGAACCAGGTTCACTAGATTATGAGTCTACCACTCTTAACCACTGTTGCTACGTAGGGCGCATGTGTGGCATCGCTACGTATGACGCATGCGCCGTACATAGTAAAGCCACACATGTGCTGTACTTAGCAGTTTGCCGGTGGAGGCGTTCAAGCGCCGTACGAATGGTGCTGGGATCCTCTGCTCGCGGCTGCAGCCACGAACGGAGGATCCTCTACATGCGGCTGTAGCGGTGATGGAGGGAACCCACCGCTGTCTGTCCGGCGTCCGAGAGGCACCAGCAGCAAACCACTATGTACAGTGCATGTGCAGCTGCGTTACGTACAGCATCCGTGTGAAGCTGCACATGTGATGTACATAACGGTTTGCCGCCGGCGGGATCCTCTGCTCGCGGCTGTAGCTGCGAACAGAGGATCCTCCACATGCGGTTGTGGTGGTGCGATGGCTGCTCGCCCTGCCGTGGGGGGGGGGCCAAGCCTCTGGGGTGTCTTCTTGCTGCCACCCCCCCCGACATGGCACCCGGGGTGCACCGCACCCACCCCTGCACCTCCGTTGCAACACCACTGCATGAAAGACAGTTTGCTCTTCCTCCTCAGTTCCTGTTTGCACAAGTTTGGCCTCTCTGCCACTGAGCGTGCCCATGTTTCTTTGGAGGTTAGAATTGGATACACAGTCTTGTCCCATTCAGAACAGAGGGAAGGTAGAAAGAGCTTCTCTCAGTGAGTTAGTACAGCAGTAGCTGATGCATACATCTGCACCATTTTGTGGCCCTGTTCCTTTCTCTTGTCTTTTAGATGTGGCAGCCATTTTATGTTAAGCCATGCCCCCATAGCTGCCATTTTGTGACTTGCACCTTGAAATTACTGTGTTTGTCACTCTCCTTTGTTCTGTGCTTGAATTGCCTTTATGGATTGTTATATTTTGCCCTGTGAACACTTTCAGTGCTTTATCTATCACTTAGAAAATCCTGCTCCTTCCTCTCCTCCTCTGAGCATGCTAGAGTCTTTGCGCAAGTATCTCTTGGCCACAGTTCACTGGCTGAGCATCTGTTTTGCATGCAGGAGGTACCAGGTTCAATCTGTTGCATTCCCAGTTAGGACTGGGAGATGACCCGGTCTAAAACCCTGCAGAGCCACTGCCAATCAGGGTAGACAATACTGAGCTCAGTGGATCAATGGTCTGACTCTGTATAAGGCAGCTTCCTATGTTCCTATGGAGACAACATTCATGGAGTTGGAGAGCTTTTCTGTGGTCAGATGTTTTTTTCTGAATAACAGAAGCTTGAGGGTGGGCCTGTTGCCTCCATGCTTTGCTTATGGGCTTCCTAGAGGCATCTGCCAAGCTATCCCCTAGTGGTTGAAGAAGCTGAGAGATGAAAGGCCTATGCACCAACCACAACCATTGCAGGCAGGAAACAACAGACCAAAAGAGGGGGGTGGTGAGCCATCTGGAAAGGGTTAGAGGAGGAATGGCTGAGAGATTGCTAAAGAAAGTGCAGCCGGGCAGGTGGTTTGGCTGGCCGCTGACTTTCATATCACAAGTGTTTTAATGTGCTCATTGCAGAATGAAACCTGATGTCCAGCTGCTTCTGTCCCTCTAGCATGCTGGGTGCTTTTGAAACAACCTGGAGAAGGAAGAGCTCTTCCCAGGCACTTGGTGATGTTGTGGAACAGCTCCTGGTCCCCCACCAGAAGATGGCCTCCCACTGTATGAGAAATCTTGGTCTAGAGTATCACTCTTGTGCTCTTCCGTGCAGTCCTGTTAAGTATTTATTAATCAAGCAGTGATACCAAACCTCATATCTTTGATCCAGGAAGTGGAAGTGCTTACGGAAGCTTTTAATGTTTAACAGACCACTGTATTTTAATACTTTGTTGGAAGCCGCCCAGAGTGGCTGGGGAAACCCAGCCAGATGGGCGGGGTATAAATAAATAAATTATCATCATCATCATCATCATCATCATCACCATCTTTTCTTCATGTGATCTCCACCTCCCCTTCCAGCCACCTTTTTATCCTTCAGTCCCAATCTCTTACTAGTCTGATGGCTGCAGCTCCTTTTTCTTTGTGAGCTTTGCTAAGTCTGGCTGCACTGATCTTGTTGCCACTCTCAGCTGCCTTTCGAAGTTGTCATCTGTCAGTCTGGCACAAGATGCATTTTGGCCTGAGTCAGCTTTGAAAACAATGCCTCACAGCAGGAGATTGTCCCAAACAGAGATGCTATTTTTGGTCCTCATCTCCTGTTTGCAGCTTATTCTTCCACAGACACAAACAGTTTGAAGAATTTCAACATAGTTATTCTGGAATTATTTTTTCACCAGTTCAGTGTCACTTTGCAGTTTTATCAGCTCAAGCTGAATTTCATGTGGTGCATCTGCTATTTTGAAACGGAAAGGCTTCTGAAATAGGTCTAGTTGCTGATTCAGTTTTGTTAAATATTTATTAATTGCATATTTTATTCAAAGGTCTTACAAAAAAATGGAGGTTTTTGCTTTGTGTGGCCTCCATCTCCCCTTCCAGACACCCCTAACTGCCACTCATCAAGGACACATTTCACTCCAATTTCAAAGCAACAAAATAAAATCAAACATCACCTCTGTACCTTGAACACTACCATCTCAGAAATCCTCCTCGTATAATCTAGCAAGATATAAGGTTGGTGGCCACATCCTGCCCAAACTCACTATGCCTCTAGGGGGCCTAAGTGTGTTATGCTGTAAACCACTTTGATATTTTTATTAAAAATATAAAGCAATAAGTAAGTAAGTAAGTAAGTAAGTAAGTAAGGCAGTCAGGAACTGGATAAGCATTACCTGTCAACACTGCCTCTTTCCTGCAAGATTACAGCTGTGCAGCTAAGGGGAAAGCCTCCACATGCTTGGCCTACAGAAAAGCCCTGGTTGAACCCCTGACTTTGCTCTGTGTAAAAGGATCTTGGGCCTTGGGGCCTTGGAGAGCTGCTGCCAACCAGAAGTGAATAATACTGGTCTGAATGGACCTGACTCAGGATAAGGTACATAGATGCTCACAGGAATCCTGCACTTCTGGTCACTTAGTAGCTGGCCTGAGAGGGACCATCCATGAGGTTTTAAGTGCTCATGATACCAGATTTACTGTAGTATTTTCCCCACAACCTCTCCTTGCACAGTGGGAGTCTAGAAGGTTTGAAGTGCTACGAGCAACATCAGACCCTTCAGCTCGTTTCCCAATGGGCCAGGCCAGCTCAGAACTTTGTTGCCTCAGCAATCACGTAACCACACAGAGCCTGGAACCCAGAGCCATACCCACCACTTTTGGAATCCATACAAATTTAGTTGCTCTCTTATGGCCCTATTTTAGCTATGCAGGCAAGGTTGCCAATTGTCCTCCAAGCCCTGCTCCTATGCTTTTTCAAGCAGCCACACACCCAGAAATTATGCACAAGATTGTCACATGTGACTTACATATGTGTGAAAAAGAAGAGATTTGGGCAGATCTCTGGTATGACAAGATTCCCTCTATTAATAAGATTAAAAATGTCACCACACCCACCTGTTCTGCCCCAAAGACAGTGTTGAAGCAAGGTGGAACTACATCAAAGAATGCTATCAACTCTCAGGCATGTGGCAAAGCCCCAGGACAGGATGGACTCACAACAAAAGTGCTGAAAGCCAGCCTCCATTCCTCCTTCATGATGCACCCCCACAGCCTTCTCCTGCAATGTTGGGGAAAAGGATATGTGCCATAAGACTGTGTGACCACAGCATTATGACCCTCTATAAGAACAAAGGTGACTGCCATGATTGTAAGAACCACTGTGGAATCTTCTTGTTGAGCACTGTGGGGGAAAGCCTTTGCCTGTGTACTTCTCAACAGATTACGGTTATTCGCTGACAGGGTCTATCCCAAGTCACAATGCAGCTTTAGAGCTCAGAGGTCAACAGTTGACATGTTTTTCTCACTGTGCCAGCTGCAGGAGAAATGACAAGAGCAGAGACGCCCCTTGCCTTCATAGACCTGGTTAAGGCCTTTGCCCTCGTCAGCTGATAAGGCTGCTCAACAAGATAAGGGTATCCACCTAAGCTCCACAAGATCATAGAATTGTAGCGTTAGAAGGGACCACGAGGGTTATCTAGTCCAAACCCCTCACAATGCAGGAATCTTTTGCCCAATGTGGGGCTCAAACCGATGACCCTGAGATTAAGAGTCTCATGCTTTACAATCTGAGCTATCCTTCCAGGAGAACATGCATGGCACCATCCAATATGGCTGTTCATCCTCAGATGCCTTCCTTATAATGAGCAGTGTAAAACAGGGCTGTGTTCTCACCCCAACTCTCTTTGGCATATTCTTCTCCCTGTTGTTCTCCTGTGCCTTCAGCTCAACTGTGTGTACTGGTTTTGACCTATAAAGCCTGTAACTGCTAAAGACTGCAATATCTCAAGGATGTCCTCTCCCCATATGAACCAACATGGGCGATGCAATCATCTGCTAATGACCAATAACAAAATGAAGGTCTACCAGGCTTGTGTATTGTGATTTATGGAAGTGAGTTGTGGGCAACTTGCACTCTCCAGAAGCAACGCCTGAATGCCTTGAATATACACTGTGTATATTTGGGGCAGAGTCTCAAACAGATGTGCTCTCCCAAGCCCACATTCCCAGCATGTTCACACAATTCTGTCTCAGTGGCATCTATGCTGGTTTGGTCATGTATACAGAATGGAAGCTGGCAGGATCCCCAAGGATGTGCTCTGCAGGGAGCTGGCTTCAGGCACTAGGCCTGCTGGCAGACCAACTCTGTGTTACAAAGATGTCTGCAGATGATCATAGTACCTGGAAGCATTCAGGTTGTGTAACCACAGCAGTGACCAGAGGAGGAATGACCACTGGGAGAAGTGCAGAGAGAAGAAACATCATGGTGCATCTGCAGCAGCAAAACCAGATGCCTTCATCTGACCCACCAACAATAAAACATGTCTCTCCCATATCAGTCTTTACAATCACAGCAGGTTCTGTAACTCTCCAATGGTTTGACTTTACCCCAGAAAATGCACTCTTCCATTGTCTCCTGAGACAGACGTATGCCAACAACTCACTGCACACAAATCTGCTGAATTATGAAAGATTTTCCGCTTGGATCAGAACTGTCAAACTAAGAAATGCACCACTGCCAAGTGTGGGCCAAAGAACATGCCCATCAATGTTCACACGCCATATGGCCTGTTTCCTGACAGCCGTGTGTGCAGGAGGAGGAGGAGGAGATGGCTTCTCTCTCTCTCTCCTTCTCAGATAATATTAGAATGTTGACACCCTGCAGACAAGTCCTACCCATGGCTAGAAGCACAGAGATGGAAAAGTGGAATTTCTGTGTTCAGATGCAGTGTCTGAATATCAGACGCTTGAGGAGCTTCCTGGTGGCATCTGGCCTAGCCACTCTTGCAAGCAGCTCAAAATGCACCTTTGCTCTGATCAAGCCCCTCAGAGTCATTCCCCAGGCCTCCTTTCCTCTGGCTAACAGCCAGAGGTTGAAGATGCTGAGGGAAAAGAGGCCACTGCTCCAGCTGCTACCATTGTAGGCAGGAAACAACAGACAGGGAGGCAGAAAGCCATCTGGAAATGGTTACATGAGGAACTGCAAGTGAGCATAAGCACAAAGGGATTTCTGCAGAAGGTGTGACTGAGCAGGTTCTTTGGCTGGCCACTGCCTTTCATATCACAAGTGTTTGATGTTCTCTGTACAGTAGGAAACTGGGCTCACAGCTGCTTCTGTCCATCTAGCATGCTGGGTGCTTTTGAAAAATCTGTGTCTGCCCTCCCTGGGTCAAATTGATCCCGCATGCAACTCTGCCATTTCTGTCCATGCCTAAGGAGTTCTCTTTTCTCTGGTGGACTGAAGACTGTATCTAGTTGCCTTCATTTTGGCTTCAAAGGACCAATGTTTTCAAAAGAGCACAAGCGTCAGGGTTTCAGAGGCACAGCCCTGAAGAATACTGGAGGATTTGTAAGGAGACTTCAGGAAGCTCAAAAATAACCTGAAGCAGTCTGCATTTAAATCTGATCGTGGAAGACTCCTGACTTGGGTAATTGTGCAATGTGGACCATGTGGATGGAGGTGGATTTATATTTATTGCAAGGCTTTGGTATGCCATTTTCCTCAGGTGGCGGTAGCTAGGCAACACACCCCACCTATGTTGGACTGAGGCCTTCTATTGATAGTTGCTAAGCTGTGGTGCTGGAACGTGGGTGGCGCTGTGGGTTAAACCACAGAGCCTAGGACTTGCTGATCAGAAGATCAGCAGTTCGAATCCCCGTGACGGGGTGAGCTCCCATTGCTCGGTCCCTGCTCCTGCCAACCTAGCAGTTTGAAAGCACGTCAAAGTGCAAGTAGATAAATAGGTACCACTCTGGCAGGAAGGTAAATGGCATTTCCATGCACTGCTCTGGTTTGCCAGAAGCGACTTAGTCATGCCGGCCACATGACCCGGAAGTTGTACGCCAGCTCCCTCGGCCAGTAAAGCGAGATGAGCGCCACAACCCCAGAGTCGTCCGTGACTGGACCTAATGATTAGGGGTCCCTTTACCTTAAGCTGTGGTGCTGTCTCCTCTAGTGGTGCTGAATAAGGAGTGCCTCTTCCTTAGATAGCTATTTATTACTTCTTTATTCAGTATGTGTCTACACTACCCTTTGTCATAAAACTGCACCACCACCTTAGAACTGCTTATCGATATAAAAGCATTAAAACTATAAAACACAGTAACGTGTTATATATAAAATAGAAATGATGACATTTGTGAACTTGGGATTGAATATCAGCTAAAAGGACAGGGGAATCAGTGAGTTTTATCAATGGGGGGGGGGGTTCTGTCATATTGTGGGCCCCTGCTATCTCCCACCGCGGCAGCTGCTAATTCTACTCTGTAACAATATTAGGAAAGGGCTGAGTTGTTGGCAGAAGATCCACTGTGAGAACAAGATGTGGGGGCTATAGTTTGATGCAGTGATGGCTTCATCAACAGGAAGGTTAAGATTAGGTTCAAAGATAGGAAGAACCCACTATGTTTAAACTGCCATTCCTTCATGAAATACACTGTTTTTGTCCCATCAGCTGCTGCAAAGTGCATTTTCCTTACCCATATATAGGGAGGGGGCACAGCACAGTGGTAGAGGGCATTCTATGCATGCAAAAAGCCCCAGGTTCAGTCCTGAGCAACATCTCCAGTTTAAAAAGTATCAGGTGACCTCTCTCTGCCTGAAACCTTAGCCAGCCAAAGTAGACAGGACAGGACTGGACTGGACAAATCTTGTACTCCCATGAGTTGGCATTTTCCATTAGAGGAAGAATAGGGTAGTGGTTAGAGTCTTGGATTAGGCTCAGAGAGACCCAATCCCTCCCAGAGTCCTGAAATGCACCAGTCACTATATCTCAGCCTAGCCTACTTCACACAATTGTTTATTAAAAAGAAAAATGGGGCAAAAGTGTAGAATAAATAAAAGCAAAGCAGAAGGGATTGCCTTCCTGGGGAGCCTCAAACTGCACCACCAAGCCCAATCCTGTCATACCTCTCCTGCCAACCAAGTTTCCAGAAACCCTAATCTCCATTTCCCTAGTTAAAAAAAAGATAAAACCAAAGTAACTTCCATTTTGCAAATAAAATCAGCACATCCATATAAAAATAATTTTGTCTGCGTGCTTATTGAACTTGCCAGTTTTATTACAGCAGTACAATTTGGTGCCATTTTCAATCACAAAATCATTAACACGAGAGCCGAGCTGAAATTCTCCAGAAGACACTTTATCAAAGAAATCTAAAAGGAGTTTTGTTTTATTTTGTTTTTCAGACCCTTAGAAGAAGACAGCTGCTTTACAGAACTTTCTCCAAATATTCTTCATTGTATTTGGGGGGGGGGAGGTGCCAGTAGTGTCAGCATCATGCTTTAAAACAGGAGTGGGGAACCACAAACCTCGGGACCAAATTCAGTTCTCCCAGCCTCTCTTACCAGACCACACCCTCTCATTGGCCCTGCTTTGAACCCATCATTGAGAGATTTTGCCTAGCTGGAATGTGCCCTTGAACTCCGATAATGCCCTTTGCATGCTCGGATGGAAGATGGGGCAGTGGTGGCTCCAGAAATTAGTTTACTTCAGCTCTAGCATGTTCTGACCTCTGTTTTATAAAGTCAGGTTCATACAACATTAGCCATGATTCATCCGCAGCCTGTTGCTTTTCAAGAAATACTGCTCTTTGATGTGCTTTCCCTCAAACCAGCTTCTGTGCAAACTGAAGATGGAAACTCCCATTGCATTGTGGTGTGAACAATTTAGGCAGTTTTTTTTTTAATTATTATAATATTTTTATTGGTTTTACATAATTTTATACATTTCAATTTCAAACATTAAAATAAAAGGTTCTTTTGAATCTTCAGACCTCCCCCCCTCCCTGTGTTCCATAATTAAAGTTTTCTGCGTCTTTTACCATTATCCATCTGTTATAAATCCATAGTTACCCTAATAAATTCAGGTGGCTTTTGTGCATGCGGAGATGGAAGCTTCACCAATTTGGGGGAAGAAATCACTGGGCAGCAACATCCCAGCTCTCATTCTGATGTGGACACTAGTGGGAGAAGGTGACTTGGACATGTAGCTCCAGGAAGCAACTTCACAACGTTTCAAGACGCTAATATGAACGTAGCCAGAAACTCCTATGATGCAGCGTGAGGCCTGCTTTGGCTGGTGGATGGGTGTGGACAACTTGTTGGGACAACTTCTCCATTCTTGTGTCATCTTGAGCTTGTACTTGGACCCTGAACTTGAGAGCCTTGGTCTTGTTTCTAGACCTGGGACAGGAGTAGCCAGTTCCCTGCTGCCGAGTCTATTCTGTTACTCTGCCTTAATAAAATTTTAGATCTAACTTGGATTTTAGAGCATCCTCTGTTGTGATCTGGGACAGAAGACAGGACACCTTAGGACAAAATAAAGAAGCTATGCTGCTGTCACTATTAATTGTGACCCCTACCCTTGAAAAACTGTTGGAGAATTTATACTTCAGTGAAATGGTCCCTGCAATTTCTCTGTGTGCAAATAAGGTGGAAGATTTCAAGAAGCCATCCGAGCATAGAGCTAATTGATACACATGCAAAGCAGCAGGGGGTTCTAATATGTAGTGCAGGTGATACAACACACTGTACAGCCTTCTTGCAGCACTGGAAACGACCACATAAAGGATGGAGTATATAA